ATATATATATACACTATAATATATATACATCGTGCTGCATTTGTTAATACGTTATCTAACATATACCGCGAGCCAGGCTACAATCTACAATCTACAATCGATAGCTACAATATACATATATATAATCAATGTCTACTTTTCAGAGTTGTATATTCGTCTCATCCCAGCGCCAACACGATAATGCTAGTGGGAATAATAGTCTGCTTCTTGGCCGTGTTGTGTATAGGAGTTGACGGTAGGTTTGTGACGCCGTGGCAGTTTTTGATAGTCTGTCAGGCTAGAGCGTGGACGATGTCGGTCGGTTTCACCTTGGCGTTCGGTGCCATGTTTAGTAAAGTGTGGAGGGTCCATCGACTCTCTACGAAGGCAAAAGCCGATCAAGGAAAAGTAAGTCGTATATACTTAATACGGATAACCGGGTCTCCGCTGATAAAGCGATACGAATGATCTTTAATAATATTCGAGAATATTATTAAATAATAATTGCGAATATTATTTGCAATATTCTATGTATTTTTTTTACTACTTCGTCTTCCATCAGACTACTCTTCTGTGAAGACAGTCGTACCGCTTTTCCGCTTGAGTTCCTCAGTAGTAACGAGACTGATTTTTAGTTGTTCATGAAGATGGAACCATCCTGCATGGTTTGCTGTTCCCGCTCGTATGTCCCGCATCTTTAACCTATTCTCGATTCCTTTTAGTCATTGACGGCTAAACAAAAAGTTTCGTCTATACAGAAGAAGATTGAGCCATGGAAGCTGTACTGTATGCTGGGCGGATTGCTGTCGATCGATATCATCCTCCTCGTCACTTGGCAAATAGTCGATCCGTTGCATCGAAGAATCGAGACCTTCGCCCTGGAACTACCTCCTTATGGAGACGAGGACGCGATGATCAAACCCGAATTGGAGCATTGTGAAAGCGAACACAATAGCTTGTGGCTCGGTGAGTGCGATTCTCGACTCAGGGTGCACGCACGCAGAAAATAAATGCCGTGTACTAACTGATATACCTAATTATATTATGATGTAAAATCGTGTACAGAAATTGTGAATTTTTTTTTTCCCAGGCTTGATCTATGGCTATAAAGGCATTGTCCTTGCTTTCGGGCTCTTTCTATCTTACGAAACGAGAAGCCTCAAAATCAAACTGATCAATGATTCCAGATACGTAGGAATGTCGATATATAACATCGTAGTTCTATGTTTCATTACGGTACCTGTCGTAATGGTCATTTCTAGCCAACAGGACGCGAGTTACGCCTTCTCGGCGCTAGCCACTATCTTCTGTTGCTTCCTCAGTATGGCTCTCATCTTTGTACCGAAGGTCATTGAAGTGATCAGGCATCCCAAAGATAAGTCCGAGTCGAGGTACAATCCGGACAGTGCAGTATCCAAGGAAGAAGAAGAGAAGTATCAGAAACTACTCATCGAAAACGACGATCTTCAAAAACTCATTGCTGCGGTAAGAATTTGATTGTCAATGCTCAAATAAAACTTATTTTTAATTATAAGTAAAAGTAGTGTTAGAAATAGAAATGTTTAAATAAAAGTATGTATTAAGTTTATGTTTTAACTACACGTTAAAACATTTTCTTTTAGCGTGCATTAGCGAGACTATCCTTCTATATGTTTTTTGTTGTATTCTTTTGCCTGTACAGGTTTGCTAATGGTTTGGCAGAATGTTTATTTTACAAATGTTGAAAATTTTTTTCGCTGAGATAAGACTATTTTTCTAGATCTAAAAATATAATCACGAAAAAAGTATAATCAGCGTGAAGAAACTTCCAACAGGTGCAAAATAAACGCGGCCAAAGCGAACAACTTTGCAACTGTGCAAAATTTATTAATATGATCGATTTATACATTTGGATTCAGTGAAGAATTAAGGGCAAGAGCCATATTAAAACATCTTACAATAATTGCAAAATTGCTCGCTTCATCCGACGTCCAATTCGCTAACATGATTGGTTCCTGTCTTAGTTATTCGTTGAATCCAAATGTAAACCAAATTAAAGCAACACCAGTTGCAAAGCTGTCTTTTCTGCTGAATGCAGCCATTGTGACGATATTATACGTTCCGAAAACCAGAATTATTTCTTTTATAAAAATGTTTCATTCTACTAAATTTATTTTTACAACAAACAAATATCTTATTAATATCTACTATCATTACATACTTTTTCATTATTCTCTTGCTTATTCAAGCCTATATATTTCAGAAAGAAGAAAAGATTCAAGCCATCAAGCAGAAGCTGGCTGAACGTGACGCCCTAAAAGGAAGCGGCACAAGTCGTTGCAGGCAAGGTCAGCCCAAACAGTCCTTCATCATTGCTGACTACCCGACCGGCGAGGGAACATCGGACAGTGCTATCGGTGGGGGTATTTCCATTTGTACAAAATCCTCCCGCGCTTCCGCTTCTGATGTTGAGTTTTCAGAGACATACTTATAATCTTCTCACACACGAGTAAAGTCAGAGGACACCGCTATGGACGTCCTTTATGCATTCGCGCGATACATTTGGGACCTAAAATTCTTTTCAATCGATCTCGGTGATTAACGCTTCGCTTTTAAATCAAATCATATTTCCGGTATTATTTGTCGTAAGTATCGATGGGTACGTACTTTCTTCACGATGCACCCTCAGGCAATGTCTCGTTGAAGTGACCGGAGTACACGATTATCCACGATAGCTACACCGGTAATGCGGTGATAACACAGACAATGAAATATTAAGTGACTGTATCTGCACATAATTTAAAAGAATAATAGAATGCCAGAAACTGGATCGTGATTTTAAGTTATTAAAAAACAATAGCGCATGCATTTTTCTCACGCAACTTGCACACGATAAATTATGTTGTGTTGCCTTCATTCATTACAGACTCAATAAATATAAAAAGTAATCTATTAATGCAATAATAAAATTAACGAATAGTGTTAATGTCATGTAAACGTGAATGTTTAGCTCATCAAATCGTTTAAAGAATTTTTTTTTAATTAACAATATAATTTATATAGCGCTTATCGCTTTAGTAAAAACACCAATTTCATAGTTTTAGTGTATATCGCTAAATATTTAAATATGCAAATAGTATCGAGATTAATAAGTATACGTGAAGTAGTAATTTTTATCGTATAGTGAGCTAGTGACTCTCTTCCTGCGAATTCAGATAAACAGGAAATACATGATCTAATGAAATTTGGCCTATGTTTCGTGAAAGTTTTGTGAAAATTATCACACATCATCATCATTTGATGATAATGTGTTTTTCTTTCTATAATTATCTACTATTATCGATTAATTATTTATTGGCAGAACATATGTGTATTTTTATATGTAGCCCGATTCCCATTAGCTGTTGTGTAGACACCCGAGATTGGATGTTTATCAGGTGTATTTTTCAGCACCTGTGAGAAAGTACTCAACCGGATTTCCTTAGCGTAATACAATCTTATCCTATGGACCAAGTTAACCCCCTTCCGCGGAATAACATTTTCAGGGATGGAGCTTTTGAGTGTTTTATATCTTGACTTTTAACTCTTTTTAACGAAGAACTATATACTCAAAGAAAAATATAACGAAGTATTTTAAGCCGTTAATGTTATCACCATTTTCAGTCAGATATATATATGTACGTTGATATTTTCCGTAAAAATATGAATTTCAAGAGAAAAATAAAAAATCATAACGGATGTAAATGAAACGTATTCGCTAAACGGTACAGTTAACAGCAATATTACGATTCCTTTATGGAATTTTAATAGGAACGAAGGAACTAGAAATTAAATTCTTATACCGGGGTACGTAATTTTCGTGTGAAAATATTTTCTAAACAAGAAAGAGAGAGAGAGAGAGAGAGAGAGAGAGAGAGAGAATATATTTTGAAACGCACAATATATATAAATATAATAAACATGTTGTATTTAAAAAAAAATTTAATTATTTAACCGGTATAAAAAAATAGAGGACGTTGCGGCTATAAATTGCAAATTGGATTTGACATGGCCCAGGATGATGTTTATACAGGAACATGCTTATCGTTTGTTACAGAGCACGTGCTTGTTACACAAAGCAATTTACAATGATTACGTTAGGCCTAAAATAATCTTTACGATCATATGATTCAGTTATTGCAGTTAAATCTCGTTAGAAAAGTGTCATGTTAATTGTGTACAGCATCAAAACGTTGTTGTAAACCTCATGAAGCGTACTCCCAAATTCGATGAGACAAAGAAACCAAATTACGATTTGGTCCAATCCGGATTAATGCAATTTAGTCGATAAACGCGAAATGTGCTAACGAGATTTAAATGCTTACGAATTTTCACGCCGTTCGTTTATAATTTGGGAGTCTTGATGAGGTGAAGTATTATCGTTGCCGTTTAGCACATAAGCCGGGGCGCACGATTATTGATTTTTGGTGAACGTTTTTGACAGAACACACACGGACGCATGCAGGATTGTTTTCGATACTTTACGGATGTGGAAGAATGTTACATTACATCGACTTCCAAATCATTTACGAACGGATTTGGTATCAGTAATTATTCATCTGCGAGCTCGCGAGATTTATGGTATTTGACCTTTTGTTTTTTTAGGCACGCAGCACATCGCCGAAATGTACGAACTGCACCGACTATGATGCCAAAGCAATACACACAAACGAGCGCTACGCTTGCGACAAAACTCTCTTCTAAAACTAGTATTAAATCTATAACGTGCACACACGGTCAATATGCGAATATAATATGCGAGTCTTGGAACACGCCAAACGTGAGAATGACTCTCTGTAATGTCTGTGAAACATGATTTCGTGACGACGGTCTTTCCGTTTCTCACGTGTTACCTAAAGCGTAAGTTAGTTTATAGAGTGTGGAATTGTTTTATATGTTTCGATACGATTTGACTGCGCCTTAGAAAGGGAAAACGAAAAGAGCGGAAAAAAAAGAGAGAGAAACGGTATTTGAGACAATGTATATCTTACGCGGATATTACGGCTGTCTATGTGTCGCGTGTTCTCTCTTTATAGGCACACAAACCGAAGATATGTGAAATCTATCGTCGTAAATCCCCGTGTATAGGAAATATTTAAAACGGAATGTAATTTCTCATTTTACGGTACTTATACCACGCGCGTTCACCTACGCAGTATTTTTTACTGTACTCGTTTTGATCAACTGCCGCGCAAACGGCGCTTGTAAGTCTAGCATTATACATTATATGATAGTCCTATCGAACTGTTGACGAAAGTATCACATATATGTACGTTAGATTATGGAGATATTTATTTTTAAGTTTTTGAATTATAAAATCCGTTAAAAATCGAAGGCTCTACCTATTATTATTGAACCCTTGGGATATATTGTTTACTCGAGCTGAAGCTCGCGTGGCTCACGCAAGACACGGCGTGATCGCGAGTGTTCGTATAATATCTCTACGTTATTTCTAGAGTTGAGATTTTAATAAAGAAAATTTAAACACAATCACCAGAGTTTACGTCAATGTTTCTTCTCTTCCGCGCGTATTTCATTACATTGGATATTATAAATGGATAGCGATAGAGAATGAAAACCGATGGAATTCAAAGAAGATACGCGTACATTCGATATGTTGTATATTGTCGGATATGATGCGTTATAACATTCGGTTATAAATATTGAATTAAGTAAGAGTGACTCTAAACACTAATAATTAACTCAATCGGCGAATGATCTGTCAAATATTACTCTCATTAATACAAATAGAATTTCTCATTGTTCGACACGTGGAAAGAGAAATTAAAAATTGAGGATGATGAATTAATTACAATTAGAAATTTTGTATGTAATTGAATCAATCACTGGCTAAATTAATCAGCAGCTTATTAAGTAATTTTTCGTTGATACAAACAGAGTTATCAATTTTTTGTTGTTTGACAAATCGAAAGAAAAATTACTAAATTAGGAATAATAAATTGTGCAATTATAATATCTCGCTGCAAGCAAATCCGCTGGTTGAAACTTGACATATCCAAATTCGGAATGCGTGAGACGTTTTATATTTCGATTTTGAACATGTATGTCGTTTGGATTATTTATTGATATATATTATTGAGTGCGAAATTATAACATTGACGTTATATGTTATTTTTAGTTTCTATCAATTGGATTAGAGAAAGTTATTTCTAAGAAAAAGTTAAATCGAAATCAAATTAATCTACATTGGCAAAAATAAATTTTAATTGATGACTGTCTAATCAATATTCGTACTTCGTACTATTTTATTACATTTTCTACATAAACAAAATTATTAATTTTTTATTTAATATAAAAAAAATTAGATTAGAGATAATAAATTAAATAGTTGAAAATTTTACTTTTAAGTAAACTTTTACTAACTGAATTAATTGCTGATCATGTATGCATTATCTATACTATGCACTATAATATATCTCTAATATTTCATTAACATAAATAAAATTTTCTAATTTCTTAACATAAGAAAGGAAAAATTAGATTAGAGATGATAAATAATACATTTGGAAATTTTATTTTCAGTTTGAATTAATATTTTACAGATTAAATTAATAGCCAATAATTAATAATTAATTGAGTTAATCGAAATTTAATTAAAGTCGCCTTATAAATATGATTTCTACATTCAACATGATGACGAACAATGCGTTCGACGTGCACGTGACAAGCTTTCTTTCAAAAGATAAAGCCCATTCTGTAATTGTACAAGCGTAGTTGTAAGAGTTGTAGTTGTAAAAGAATCAATCGCAGTCAAATATGAAGAAAATATTTATTTGTGGTTGGTCAATTCTTACAACTAAAACCGCTTCACAAATTTCGTCACACGTCGCCTCGCGCAGATTTTCTGCGCACCACTAAATCTCCCGCTCGTGCGCAGATCTGTTCTCTGTCGTTGCATTCCGTTGCACCTTCTGCACCTAAAATAGGACGGGCATACGTCGTACGTTGAAGGGAGAAAGAGAAAAGTGCAGGAAGTACAGTGGGAAGAATCAAGTTCTTATCGCACGTGCGAACGGCCATATTGAGATTCGCTCCTGTCGTCGCGGGCTCGTGATCGCACGCGTTGCGACGTAGGTACATTGTCACAATTAGCAGCGTGTTCGATCCGAGTGGCGATACAGGGAGGCGTCGTTATGTCGTTCGGTAGCGGCTTCGGAGCGTCCACATCGACGCCCGCACCTACGTTCGCGTTCGGCACCACTCCGGCGTCCACAGCGACGCCGGTTAAACCTGGTAAGCCACCTCTCATCACAAGATCGTTTGTTTCTCATCCGCATCTCCTCTTTCCTTTTCTCTTTCCTTCTGATTTCATCTTTCTATCGGACGTAGGGACGCGTTCTTCGCTTTCGTACGTAGACAATCTCGCGACAATTTGTGTGACAATTTTGAGGTTAAGAACAGTTACTCCAGCGAGATACTTTGTCGGGTTCTTCAATGAAGTTAAAGAATATTCGAGACGCTCGACGTAAAAATGTGCCCTTCTCAGTTTCTCGTCGAGCTAGTTCTGGTGGTCGCGTCGGAAGCCTTGTCCAGCAGAGGCTGGTTTACACCCCCGCAATCCGGACTACACTCGACGTCGCTCTTCGCGAGGAAAGCGTGCCTGCCCCTGGATTTTGCGATAATACACGCTGTGACGCAACACATGAATAATATAATTAGGAGAGTGGTCAGCAAAATGATTAGCAACGTTGAACGTCCGGGGTATTCGTCGGATTTGACGGTCGAAGCCAGGGTGATATGACTGTGATCCAGTATTGTGCGCGACTCGGTGCTGTAAGCGCCAATTTTCCTACCGGCAGTTGTATCTTCCAAATAATACATTTCATTTGGAATTTTACCAAGTGTCGTTATCATGATTTCCGCAGTTGCGTCCTGTGCAAAGATAATTGAATCAAAATCATTGTTAAGTCTGTTAGGAAATAAATTGTTACAATAATTGTTACCCCAATTGCTATATCTGTAGTACCAAGTTCGCTTACAATTTGAGTGGAAAGATCATGTACTGACTTAATATGATCGAGGACTGAATTAGACATAGCAACTCTCTGCAGTGAATTATGCCAATTGTGTATAAGTTGGTCTATTAAACGCTTTTAATGTACATTATTCTCTATTAAATTGCTATATTTTAATAATGTCAAAAAATACTTATAAGTTTGCCTAGTATTAAAATAGTCTATTTTTATGTTGCTATTACCTCATAGATCATTCTGTTGACTTAGGAGTGCCATTGTATTATTTTATGTATTTTATATTATATGACCATATATTACAAGTTTATATATGTATTTGTAATCAACTTTTGAATTTTTTAATATATGGAAATCCAAATAGTATAATGTCTGCAAACAGTTAAATTTTATATTCATGCAATATCTTCCAATATATATAATCACAATCAAAAATATAAACGTTGAATTAAAATTATTTTCGTAAAACAAGCAACGAAAATGTCATGATAGCAAATACCTTTTAATTGATATTTACCTAACTTCATGTTAAACAAAAAAAAGATGACTTAAGAAGTGTTTGATATCTACTACACTTAGGCTGGATTCCATCTTTTGATAAACTTTAGCTCACGCTCTTATTCTCTTACTTTCTCATACCCTTACTCTTTTATTCTTTTGTTTATTCATTAGATAAATTATCACATAGTTTATCCGAAGATGGAACGACTGGCCCACAGTACTGAAAATCTATAGTGCATGTATATTATGTATATTATAGATTTTCAGTGCTGATAATAAATATATATCGAAATATAGCATTTATTGATGTATTTAACAAGAATGTTTATTTTGTAGTTTTTGTTGAAAGTTATAACTAGTTACAAATTTTTAAGTGCCAGGATTTGGAACACCCTCGTTCGGATTTAGTACACCGACTACTTCAACGCCAAGCTTGTTTGGCTCGCCGTCGACGCAGACTACTGGATTTGGTACTGGCACTGGATTTGGTACCCCGACAGCCACTGGTTTTGGCAGCGCACCTAGCACGGGTTTTGGAGCTGCACCTACGTTCGGTACCCCGTCAAGCAGCGCCTTTGGTTCGGCACCAGCTTTCGGTAGTACCCCCGTTTCTTCTACAACCACTGGATTCGGTACAACTTCGACATTTGGCAGCACTCCTGCTCCCACAACTGGTTTCGGTGGTTTTGGGACAGGGACAACATCGACATTAAGTTTTGGAGGTTTCGGTGGATTTGGAACTGCGACCACTACTGCTGCCCCTAGCTTGTTTGGCGGATTCGGCACTCCAAACACCGCTTCAACAGGTTTCGGTACATCAGGTTTCGGTGCATTTGGGAGCAAACCAGTTACTACCAGTGGTACATTCGGTGGATTTGGGACAGGTAATACGAAATCTTTTTACATACAGATTAAGGCTTCTGATATTGCAATATTTTTTCTTTGCTTTTTATTAATATATTACATATATATCTAGGGACAGGATTCACAGGATTTGGTACTGGATTGACGCAGCCTCAGCAGCAACAGCAACAACAACAACAACAACCTACAAATACTGCATCAGAAGCTCTCTACAATGCCGTGTTCAATTGTCAATTGTACAATGACGAGCGAGATAATACCATTGCCAGGTGGAATCTTATTCAAGCATTATGGGGTACAGGAAAAGCTTATTACTCCGTAAATGCCCCACCTATAGACCTTACTCAGGAAAATTCGTTATGCAGATTTAAAGCCATTGGATACAGTCGCATACCTGATGCTGACAACAACGATGGTTTAGTAGTATTATGTTTTAATAAGAAAGAGAAGGATGTACAGGATGGAAAACAGCAATTAATAGCATTTTTTAATGGTTTGCTGGGAAATAAGCCCAATCTGACAGTAACCGTTGATAATATTAAATCAACGGGGGAGAACAAAAGTCAAGTGACAGTATATGTATCGGAAAAAGGAATCACTGGTTCTTACAGAAAAATTCCCGCCAATGAATTAGTCGCATATTTATCGCAAATCATGCAAAAACAGCAGTTGGTACAAAATGGAGTGGAAGATATATTTCCACTGGTAAAACTTGATCCATCACAGCTGAAAGAGTACCTAGATAATCCACCTTGCGCTATTGATGCCAGATTATGGAAGCAAGCGCAGTTGGACAATCCGAACCCAGAGCTGTATATTCCAGTTCCTATGGTTGGCTTTCAGCAAGTTAAACACAGACTGAAATGTCAAGAAGAGGAAACTGCTAGACATAGAGCGTTTTTGGACATGGCAGCTGAAAAAATACAAGGCTTGCAAAGGCAGCACACAGCTACACAGGCCAGACTTAAGGAACATAGACGTACATTGTTGGAACTTCAGCACAGGGTTCTACAGGTATAGCAGCGATTAATTTTTCTTGTTCTTTAATTGACTCTTGGCTCCGTATTGGCTAGTAACAGATCGTCAACTAACTTTTAAGTCTTACGTATACTTAATCAAACTTGTCTTTTAATCAGTGGCATGATGGAAGAAACCCGAGCACGTCTTTCACCATGATTAGAGGAATACGTAATCGGTATAGCAATGTTCCTTAGATGAGGAAACACAGTAGTGTCTCGCTAAGATAAGCGCCGTGTACTCATGATGTAAAGTCTTTATATCATGCATGTACTTTACGGGAGATCTTAATTACATTCCGCAATTGAGATTCTTATTCATAGATGGAGCATAACTTAAAGAAAAATCTGACATATGTGAGGCATGGATGGGATCGAATTTGGATCCACAGATTACTAGTCCGCGGACCGATTATCGAGCCACCCAACGCCTCGCAGTGATTAATTGATTTTAGTCTTGATATTTTTTTTCCGTTAACTGTTTAAAGGTGCTAGTACGGCAGGAAATTACGCGAAAAGTGGGATTATCCTTGCAACCGGAAGAAGAAGTTCTAACACGCAGATTTGAAGCAATGCATTCGCAAATCAGTGCTCCGACGCAATACAAAGGAAGAATTAGTGAAATGCTCTCTCAGCTCAGAATGAGGCGGCACATCGATATTCAGAACCAAGAGAGGTATACAATGGATCCTATAGCACAGGATGATATTAAAGCGGTAAGAAAATGTTCATTCGCTTTAATTTAAAATTCTTATCGAATAGTATGTGTAATATTTTCTTATTTCAGTATCTAAGTATGGAACAGCAGGGCATGGCGCAGCTTATTTCGACAATAAATGCTGATTTAGAAAGCTTGAAAGTCATTAAAGATGGAATGTCAGAGCTTTTGATGAGCCAAAGTATATCATGAGGATTGTAATATATAATAAAATTTTTTCATGTCTTCTATATAATTAAAAGATAATATGTTTATTAATGTTTATATAAATGATCGTGATTGTGTAAATTTATTTTTATTTTTTACAAAGCAGTGCCATATTTATTTCACAATTTCTACTTTTTTGCTTTGTAATCGAACATTGACGTGTCAATTAATGATATAAGGGGCGTCTACAATGGAATGTATAATAAGCCGTAAGAAATCAACCAATCACAGTTTGTTTTCTCATTTAATTGATTAGTTAATTTCTTACAGTTTACTACTTACTACAGACAGCCCTTAAGGGTTGAAGATGGTTATTATATATATACATTATATTTTCAATTTTATATTAAAATTTAAAAATGCAATTTAATAATTTTTGCTTATATTGTAAAGAAATATTTTTTAAGCACATATTATTTTTTTCGTTTATTCGAAGTTATACTTTGAGGTATATTTTAATATCTTAAAAAATATATTAAAAGTGTGCTATATAAAATAAAACAAAATGCATATTGCATAGATAAATAAAAGAATGATTTAATAAATGTATAAAATAACAAAAAAGGAAGTATTCCATAGCGTACATCATAAATATAAAATCTACAAATTGTGATATATTTCTGGTTGAATATTGTTGATCGAAAAACGTGACTCTTTACAAAATACATATTCACAATGATTTGATATAATTAGCGTGAATTAAATTGGAATATATCAAAATTATAATTATTACAAATGGGAATCAAATTTCCCTTATTTACAAAGTTTTATCATTTTCTATAGCGTCAGTTCCTTTATTGGCATTTTTCATCGATGATAGAGATTTATTGTGAACATCCTGGCCTATGGTCATCTTTAATAATTTTAGAATGGACTTTTTATTAGCATTTTCATTTTCTGTAAGCAAAATGCATTTTGTTAATGTTTTTACAATTATAAGATAAAACGTCGTGTACTTACCTTCAGTAATTACTTCAGTAATTTGTTGTTCAAGATGCAACTTTTCTTGCGCTATCTCATACATGCCTTCCTCTATTGTGCCTTCACTCAATAACCTTATGATAGAAACGGGTCTGCAAGAAAATACAGCATCTTGAATATGTTCATTTTAATGAATGATAAAAAAAGTTTTATCTCGATTTATATATATATAAATATGCTTAAATTTTGTGATTATGCATACTTCTTTTGTCCTACACGGTGGCATCGATCTTCTGCTTGTTTATCATTGTACGGATTAAAATCTATATCGTGTAATATAACTGTATCGGCAGCAGTTAAATTGATCCCTAAACCTCCGGCTCTTGTTGATAATAAAAATATGAATATACTTGGATCTTCTGTGTATTTATTTATAAGAGTCTGTCTCTCAGTCACAGGTGTACTGCCATCTAGTCTAATTTTAATATTAAATTCATTAGAATTAATCTGAGACAGCATACACAGCCACAGTAATAATTAATTATAATTAACCTTAAAAATGTCTGTCCTCTAATAGTTAGATATTCTTCAAGTATGTCTAATACCATAGTAAACTGGCTAAATATTAGCACCCTGTGACCATCCGTTTTCAATTGTGGTAGTATCTTGTCAAGTTCCTTTAATTTACCAGCTTCAGGAATAAGTTCTTGAGGTAAACCGAATCCGGCTATACTTTTATATATACGAGTTAATTGATTTATTTGATAATCAGATGTCCAAATCAGATCTTCAAAGACGTATTCCGGATTCTTCTGTTTGTAACCTGGTTCTTTCGCCAGTCTACTTGCTATAGCCTAATAATTGATAATTTATAATAAATCATGTACCAATTAAAAAAAATACCGATAGAAAGAAATTGCATACATACATTTAATTTATTCTCGTCGTAATAATCACGTATGAGAAGGGGATGATTGGCGAGCTTCCTCAACTGCATCATCATGCCAGTACCATTTACATCTGTAATTTCGCTGGCCTCTGCTGAAAATTGAGCGACTAACTTGTTATACATACTTTGCTGTTTTTCAATTAATGTACATCGTATTATTTCGTCTTTTTTATGAGGCAAATCACGTAAAACTTCAACTTTAAGTCGTCGAAGAACAA